GGGTATTTGTTATTTTTTGTCTTCACCATCTGAGTAACTTATCAACTGAATAAAAAAGCCCAATGAGGCAAAACAACAACTTAATAAAATGGGCATTATTCACATGAGGACCGTGCAAAGAACTCTTAGGAGAATTAGTTATTCCTAAATACTTCCCTTTCTAATTAGAAACTACACTCTTTATAAAACGCTTGGAAAATGTAAAAAACAAAATTCTCCTACAATCCTCAAACCTAAGGATTAACATTTTCTTCTTGCCTTCTTCCCTATGCATGCTTTATATTAATTTTCTTTAAAAATTCAGAATCTTAGTGTCTTTAAACATTGTTAAGTTGCAAGCATCCTTCCAAGAAACCAATTTTTAACAGCATACTATATACTACCATGTATTTAATTACTCCCCTTACTGCTTACTCATCTATTCCCAGCCTGGTAATGGAGAATTACAGGCAACAAAGGGCATATTTACCATTAATACCAGGGCATCAGGTACTATACAGCATAGGATAGTAACTGATCCAGAGCTCACTTAATTCCACAGACATATGGGCACCCCTGACACAGGCCATGCTAGGCTGCAGTAGATATAAACAACTCTGGGGATGTCTAGTAACCAATCCCCCTCAGTTGCTGGTATAAAAGTATAAGAAAATAAAATCAGAGTTCCATTTTGAGATGCCAGGAACTGGTCTGCTGCAGCAAACGGAAGCAGGGCTATACCACATTAGGATAAGAATGTGTGTGTTTAAAAATGCAGGTGTCAAGAACTCAAGGCTGGAAAGGAAGATTTAGGATCTACTAGGGAAGCTAGGAAAGAGAAGCAGAAAGAGAAAGGGAGGAGAGATGGGGGCTGGAGCACGAAAGAATCCTACAGGCCTAATGAGAAATAATGAAACGCTTCCCTCTTTCCTCTCTCCCTGCGTCCCTGTCTTCAGGCTGCTGTCCCTCCAGGGAGCGGCCCTAGGCAGCGTGGAGAGCAGGGACCAGGGCTGAAGGACTGGACTAACATGGCCCCCTGGCAGCGGTCTCAGTTGGCAGGAGCAGGGTTAGGGATACACTATGTGGGAGGAAAAGAGGATGAAAGACAGCAGAGAAATTCTCAGAATGCTGCAGAGCAGGTGTGTGTACGTCAGCACAGGGGACCTGGAAACTGCTTGTCTGAGTGCAGCGCAGGACAACGCACAGCAAGGGCAGGCTCTACAACAGACAGCAAGCCTCTGGGTTAGAAATGACCCCCTGAGCATCCTAAAGAAGAGACGAGTAGTTTGTTTCAATAGACAAATAAGAGCCTTGCCAACACTGCTGATCACTTAGCACCCTATCCTGAGCCAATTCAAGCCAAACCCATCACGCGTATACTACACCTTTCCTGGAACTGCTCCCCGGGCCTGAGCCATCCGCCGGGCTGACTATATTAGGCTACATACGGCAGGCCGCACACTTCTCGTTTACCGGGGCATCCCTAGCAAGGTGGGTACTCACCTGGGACACAGCGGTTATTTAGGGCCAGCTTCCATGCTGGTTAGCTGGGGCTCGCACCTTTACTGGCTAAGAATTTTTATTGCCATCTCTGAGGACAGCGCATAGAAAATTCAAGCATTTATTTATTGAATAAACGAGTTCATTAATTTAAGCCTACAGAAAGGAATGTTTTATTGTGGTTCCAACGTATAAAGCATCACAACTTGGCCCAACTCCACAGCTAGGGTAATTTAGCAAGGGCCTAGGAAGTAAGGAATTCTCAGCACCAGAGAACAATTTTGGCCAGAGAAGATGCCTTCTGTCGCTTCTTTAACCCTATCTACCGTGCCACAAGCACCTCCACTCCAAATACTGCCTGTCGAGGAACAAGAATGGGAGGTCCCTAACGGACTTCTGGGGTCCCCGTGGACAAAGGTTCAGGCAGCAGCTCAGGCAGGCAGGGCTTCTGCGGAAACTACGCTAAGAGGATTACTCCTTACCATTTTTACTGTCTGGCTGGAATTTTCTCTTCTTGTTGAACTTACGCGCCTGCTGGAATTTGTTCTTTGGTACTTTATCCCCTTGCTGCTTATTCTTGAACTGCTTCACACCTTTTTTCCCAGGTTTTGTGGCATTTTTCTCGAAGTTCTTAGCTGTGATTTTAGGTCCACCTTCCTTAACAACTTTTTTTGGGAATGTCTTCGAAGAACCAGAATCTAGTGACAATAAAAAATAATTATCAGTTCAATGACCCTGGGCCTAGATTTTTTTATCCATTGGGTTGTATATGCTACAGAAAATTACACACTCTTCAGTGAAACCTACTTTGTCTTAATCTCAAATATAGAGCAGAAGGGGACTTAAAAAAAAAATCAAAACAAAATTTAAAAATTTTCTTTGATCATAAAATTATAATACAGGTTCATTATAGAAAACCTACAAAGTAGAGAAATACATAATATAAACTACCCATAATTTTAGAGATAACTGTTGTCAGCCATATTTCTGTTATAGGCATGTGGTCAAGATATTATTTCTATGTCTTTGTAGGTCTTGTATATATGTGCATGTGTATTCACGGTTCAGTAATGTAACAGCAGCCTAAGAATAAAATTAACATTTAAAATTTAGAAAGTATATCATATAGACAAATTTAAAATGTTTATTTTTCAAAATTTCTAGTTTTGGAAACTTCTTTATAGGCTTTGAAAAAATTTTATCTGATAAAAATCTTTGGTTAACAAAGCTTGCAAATTAAGTACCTAACAAAGGAGATGAAAACTCCAAGAGCTATGCCCTAAGAAAACAAAAACAAAAACAAAAACAAACCAAAGACTGTTTAGGAAACTAGTTATTTACACAATTGCTGACTTTTCTATTTTGCAATACTGACACCTGATGGAATAATAAAGACATCACAATGAGAAATCCTGGAGATAGAGTATTTGGTTTACAAGTAGGTGTGTTAATTAGCCACAATTTATCAACTGTTAAAATAAAATGTGATGAATTAGTGTGGCTAACATGAGGTAACAGCACCGCGAGCTGAGAAAGGGGTCTCACCCACCATTTATCCTGGCTGTTCTGCTACAAGCCCCCTCATCCCGAACCCTCCCTCCAAGGGCCAAAACAACCACATGGGAAGCATGCTTTGGCTGTCTTACCATTGTTTTTATGAAGTCTGTTTTTCTCTTGTGATGTCTTTGTACCTTTTCCTGTGAATTTTTTTTCCCTCTGACTTCCATCATAGCAACTCTGTAAAACAAAGACAAAATCCAAAGAGGATCACTGAACTGCTCTCATCTAATAAGTTATTAAGTAGTCACTGCTACACGCACTCCTTGAGATCACAAATGCAGGACAAATCATCAGCGTACATCACAGGCACCAGGAGACCAGGAACTATGCAATCACTGCTTCTAAGATTGTAAAACTGAAAATAAACACGGAATCAATACAGAAACTAAGAACACACACACAGACACATCTTGGCTAGTGTGTGATGTTTTGGAGGCAACATTTTAGCAACGGTAATGGCTAAAAATAGACTACTATTTACACTAAGCACCATACAACTGTCAGTGTTTGCATTTCCTACAGCCTGTGTGGAAGACTCTGAGGACAAACTGACAGGATTACCATTTGATTTCTTGGTCTCTACCCTAAAAAGCCAGGAACAAGCAACACATTGCACTCATCACATACTCAAATTTAATGAAAGATTATCTAAAAGTTTCCTATGTAACCCAAGGTAGCCAAAACAGAAAACTAGCTTCAAATGTTTAATTTGTTAATTCTCTAAGAGGCAAGAAAGTAATTTTCAATGACCTCCAAAATAAGATCGTTGAAATATTTCATACTTCCTTTTAATTAATCTGCCTAACAGGTTACTTCTTGGTGCACAGACCCCACCAAGCACAGGGCAACAACAGATACGTCTTCGGCTACCCAAGGCTCCTGAAATCAGCAGACTGTATCCCGAGCAAAAGTTACTATGCTTCATTTGTCTATTCTGTACCTTCCAAAGTTGCATATTCAACTCATTTCTAAATTTCTGAATTTGACCCTCTGTAGTAAGATGCTAGGGACCCCTAGACAATTCCAGGTATTCCTACACAAGAATTTACCACTGAAGAGCAACAAATTTCTCAAGCTAAATAGGTAAATGAGAAAAGAACAGTTCCAGAGTGAACCATATTTGGGAAATAGTGAGTTAAATGAAAATAATGAATGAAGCTTATTCTTTGTAAAAAAAGGGGGGGGCACTCTTTTAATCTGCTGTTTTAAGCCATTTATCACCAAGCACAAGCGAAAGCATGCAGGGGTTTTCCAACCATGGTTGAACCAGTTTTTCCTGGAGCATCTCAAGGGACCAGCAGGGATCCAAAGAACACTATGGAAAAAGCAGCTCTTAGTCTAGGCTTCACTACGATTCTGGAAAATGGATGGCCCCTGAACTGCTCCGTCTCCTTAGGACATTAGCGACTGCAGGGTCACTTTACCACTTGGCTATGGCCTTCATAACCACATCTGCATCCCTCAGCTCTTCTGTGCAGGTAGTTTCCCTAAATTCATTCACTGATACATTTTCTCTGTCTATTTAACTGTTTGTTTTGATATAATTTGTTTTAGAGAAGACTTGGGTAAGGTAACAGGAAATTCCAGTATACCCCACAGCTTCCTCTAATGTTAAAATCTGGTTATGGTGCATTTACCAAAACTGAGAAGTAACACTAGTATGACACTACTGAATTTGAACTTTGCCAATGTTTCCACTAATGTCCTGTTTCTGTTCCAGGACACACTGCATTTAATCATCAAGTCGTCTTAGTTCCTAACAACCTGTGGCAGTTTCTCAGTCTTTGTTTCTCATGACTGAGGCAGTTTCATGGAGATCAGCACTCTGTAGAACATCCTGCACCTGGGGTTTGTCTGACGTCTCATGATTTGACTGGCATTACAGATTTGGGGGAAGAATACTATAGAGGCTGGGGCCCTTCTCATCATGTCATGTTGGGAGCATCGTATCAACAGGACCAGTGATATTAACCTTGATTACTTGGTGAAAGCAGTGTTTGCCAGGTTTCTCCACTGCAAAGTTACTAGGCTACCCTTCCCATACTCTATTTATTAGAAGGAAGTCACTAAATTCAGTCCAAACTGAAGGGGAGGGGAATTAAGCTCCACTTCCTAGACTGGGGAGTATTGAAGAATTTGTTTGAATCAATATACGAAAATCCCCACAGCAATTAATAAATATTTTGGATGATATATTTTGAGATCATGCAAATACCCTGGTCCCCCACTGACTTCAGCATTCTCCAGTGGGTCTTGCCTGCAGCAATTACCACGGTGTTTCAATGGTGATTTTCTATTTCCCTCCGTTACATCTCCTTTATCATTTTGAATCCTTCTGTAGGGAAAGTTTATTCCTTCTCCTGTATTAAATACATTCCTTCTCATGTCTTTAATCATTTATTTACATCAGTATGGCCTCACAGATACTTTAGTACTTGGGTTATAGACTACGAGTAATTTTACTTTGTTGCTCAAATTGTTTTAGCCTTGAAATCTCTCAGGTTGCTTCTGTGTCCTTTTGACATGGTCCATCCTTTTTTCTTTTCAGCAAGTCCTTAATTCTTGGCACTTATTCCAAGTTTACCTTTTACTTTCCCTGCATAAGCCCTAAAATCAGCCATTTCATGAAGGAACCCTGGCTCCTCTTGCTGAGATGTAAGAGCTAGGTGTGCCTGTCACTGGGATGTCACTGCTTCTACAACTTTTCACCAGACAGGGCTGGGTAATGTACGTATGTAACTAACCTCTGTGTACACACAAACCTGAATTTCGTGTCTAACTATTAAGCAAGTTTGTACTAATGTCTTCAACTCTAATCATGAGGCACAGGATTCATTCCAGTCTTCCTCCCTTGCTTATTCGTAACTTCGACAGTGAGAAACCTGCCTCCCAGGATCTATGATTTATTTCTGCATTGGTCAGTCCTAGAAGACATGTAAAGTAGTTTCAGAATTGCTAACCTGTACCTCCATGAGAAACAAATTTACCAACTTAAATACTGTGTTTACTGACAGTTCTTTTTTTCTTTTCCCTCCCAGTATCCATTCAAGACAGTTTTCCAGTTACTCAGGTCAACCAGTTTCCCTCCTCTCCTTCAGCAAGGTTATTTTATACATTTGTACCAGTTAGATTCATTTTGTCCCAGTCTGCATTACATTTCCAGATATGTCAGCTGAGGTTTCTTTCATCTGCACATTCCAGTCCATTGTTTGTGGTGGACAGTGTTAATTTTGACAAATGCAGAATCATGCATCCTCCACCACAACATCTTAGAGAACTGTTTCACAACTCCTAAAAGTCCCCTGTGGAGACCCTTTTGTAATCACCCTCTCTTGGCAGTGACTGCTGTTTTTCCACCCTCTAGTTTTGTGCCTTTTCAAAAATATCATATAAATGGAACGAGACATTACACAGCCTTTTGGGTCTTGCTTCTTTCACTTAGCAAAATGCACTCTTGGGGACCCTGTACTATCACATCCAACCACCACATTCCAGTGTCTTGAAACTGTTTACTCTTTTCCCCTTCCCTCTATTACCCCACTTAGGCTCTTCATCTCTTTCTCAGATTGTTTTCTGCCATTAGACTCATTTAGCTATGATCTACTCCCTGCTGCCACAATAACCTTCCACTGACACATCTGTTTCAAGCCATTTCTCTGCTCCAGCACTTTCAAAAGTTTCCCACTGCCTACAGGAAATATTTCAAACTCAGTCTGGCATTCACAGCCATTCAAAAATTACACACATCACAAATACCACACTTAAATCATCCTTACTCCCTCACTATTCTCTTTCGGGAACCAAACTTAAAAGTCATTCTCCATTTATATAAATCCTAGGCATCCTTCAAACCCAGACTAACTGACAATTTCTTACCATTCCTCCTCCATACAACTTCCTTTTCTCCCAAATGATTCTCCTTATCCCCATGGCATATTTTGATGGCCGTCTTATAACACCTTGGACTTGAGACGTGAATACCTATAAACTATGTGCTAGAAACCTAATGGGTTTTTAAAAACATATAGGAAAAAACCAAATTGTGGTTTAACAGAGGAGACAAGCAAGCAGAAAATTAAAACACAACATAATTAAACACTAAAACTTGAGTATATATAAACTGTTTAGAGAGTCACAGAGCTGAGAGCCCAATTCTGCCTTGTGAAGGAAAACGGCAAGATTTCCCATCGGTAGAGGGACCTATGATCTTTTCTCACTCCTCTCAGCAGACTCAGCATTGTACTTTTAAAGTAGTGAACATTCAATACCCAACCTCTAAATGCTGGCATTCCTCAAGTGTTCTCCCCTCTCTCCACACTTCTCCCCAGGTGATCTTGTCCAGTTCCATGACTTTCTATGCTGGGCTCCAAACGATTTTTCCCTTAGGATGTCTCCTTGGGCTCCAGACTTGTGTATCTATCTGCTTACCAGAAATCTCCATTTACTTGTCTAACAGACACCTTAACACTTAAGAGATCCAAAACATAGTTCTTTCTTTAACTTTCCACTGCAAATCACCCCAAAACAGTACAATCCTCATTCAAAACAATAACATCCTCATCTATTTCTCCCTTCCCCATTCTTCCCCATTTCAGGTGTGGCACATCATCCATTCCACTGCTCAAGGAAGAAACCTGAGACTTAACTTTCCTCTCCCTCGTCTGCTACATTCAGTCCTTCAGTAAATTTTCTTGAGTCTCCTTTAAAAATACCTGTAACCCACCAACTTCGATCTCCACTACCACCACCCTAATTCAAACTATCATCAATAATCTCCAACTATATAACCAATAATAATCCAAACTATTATACATTTTCTAAAACGGACAAGGACCTACTGTGTTTCTCCCTTGCTTATAAGTTTTCAGTGTGTTCTAACAAATGGGAGTATTTTTCTATCGTAGAGTAAACCTAAACTCCCACTGTGGCCTTCAAAGCCCTGCCTCGTCCCACCCTACCCCTGTACCTTGTATCGCTGAATTTCTAATTCAACTACATTGGTCCCCCTTCTACAGCTGCCACCTCAGGGATTCAGCTCAAGTTACTGCCTCTGCTGAAACTGGTTTTCCCTGGGCTTCCAGATTGCAGGGTTGCCTCTCGCCACGCTCTAGTCCTCAGTTTAAGAATCACTCCTTCAGACTCATCTCCACCTCAGCACCCAGCTCGTTTTCTTCTCAGGGCTTACAACTTGCAGCTGTATATTCAGGTGGTAAACTGGGCACCCAGCACCGAACAGGCGCAGAGTGGATGTTTGTCAAACACAAGACAGAAAGGTTGAAAGCGACTAGCACCGGCCAGGATTTTAGCGGCTGAAGGTAGCTCAAGCTAACCCAGCACTCTCAAGTCAGCGTGATAGGGAAAGGAGCTGAAAACCTGCCTTTGTCGCCAGGCTCCAGTCAACTCCCAAACCCCCAGAGTAGAAAAGGCCACAGAAGACTGCGCGGCAGGTGACAGGTGTGAACACCTCCAGCCAAGAGACCTTCCCACTCCAGGGCCACGCAGGGGGCGAAGCCCTCCCGGGAGCAGCCACAGAGCCGGCGGCACTCACCTCACACGTGTGGCCCAAACAGGCGCGGGACTCGGTTCCGCGCCTCGGCTTCCGCTTCCTCTCCTTGCCCCGCCCCCTAGCCTCGTTTTCCCTTCTTCTGCCCCGGAACTGGGGTTAAGGGGTGGGGCTTAGCTGGAAAAACGGAAATTCGGCATTTCTATTGGTCCGCTTCTATTCATACCTCATCCAGAGGCGCGAGGGCTGCGCCACAGCGGGTTTTGGCCCTTGAAAGCATCCGTGGGGCGAGGACGTGATAGCGGCCCCTGAAAGTGACGTCATTAACCCCGTCGCTTCCGGCGAGAGGCTTCTCGCGAGGGCTGACCAACTATGGAAGCGGAGACTTGGTTGGCGTGGCTGTTCTGTAGCCGGAACTGAGTTTGAAATAGTTAACGCTGCTAGAGTGTGTTCATTTGCATCCTTACTGGCAGTCTAGCGTGGGGCTTTAAAGGGATACCTCGGGAGTGGGCTTGAATTGTAATCCTGATTTTTTCCGCTTGTTAGCTGTGTGGCAAATTTGGCAAATTACTGAATTTCTCTGCGCTTTGGTTCCCTCATCAGTAAAATAGAGATGGCTAAGTCATACATGGAAAGTGATTGATCAGGACAAGTGCTTAAGATATGTTTGCGGTTGTAAATATCTGCGCATTCCTCCAGGCGGAAGTTATCGAAGTGTCCATTTAAGGAAATGAGACTGTAATTAGGATGTTATCCCCATTTTACAGATGAAACACACCACAAACTTGATCGGGTCAAACAACGGAATTTATTTTTTAACAGTTCTGGAGTCTGGAAGTCGGAAGTCACTCTTTTGGTAAAGTTGTGCACCTTCTGAAGGCTTAAGGGGAGAATTCTTTGCCCCCTTCAAAATTTTAGTGGTTCCAGGCGTTCTTTGGTTTGGGCCGCATAACTCCAGTCTCTGCCTCTGTCTTCACATGACTTTCTCTTCTGTGTCTTTCCCTCTTCTGTGTGTTATAAAGAAACTTGTCATTGGATTTAGGTCCCATCAGGATAATCAAGGGCGATCTCATTTGGAGAACCTTACTAAATTAGAACTGCCAAGATCCTTTTCTGAAGTAAGATCACTTTCATAGGTTCTGGGGGTTGGAACACTGACATATCTTTTGTAGGGCCACCTGGAAGTTGAGAAATGGGACTTGATCCCACGGGTTTCGAGCATCAGATTTTACTGTCTTCCAGATCAGAGTTTCCTGCCTCTTAAGGAATTAGGTTTGAGGCTGGTAACACACTAGACTATGCTTCCTGAGAGGAGGAGCCATCATTACTTCCCAGGCACCTATCCACTACTCAGCACACAGACGTCTGATAAAGACTTCCTGTCTGCTTTAAGTATTGTAAGTATGTTTGGATGAAACTCATTTAAGTCTCATAAGAACAGTTGAATAGATCTTTTGCCCTCATGTTATGGAGAAGAGAAACATTCAGGAGTTTTGATCCAGTGAGTCTGACTCCAAACTCAACATGGCTGCCTCTGGACTGCTTTCTCTAATTCAGTTATTCTCTAGTAAAGGCCCAAGAGGAGAGAATACAGAACAAGAATTGCAGGAGGACCAGCAGCAGTGTCTCTTAGGCAAATAGTATGATATGTGCTAGCCAAAAAAAAAAAAAAAAAAAACCCTTCACAAATATACCCTACCTCACGGACCTTGGAGGGGATATATTTATATTTTCAATGCCACAGATAGCAGCACCACATACCTTCTCAGACTCATCCATGTCGCTGTGCTGTCCAAAAGTGGACTTGAGTGTTTTATTCGTTTGGAGTGTTGGAAGTATTCCGTGGTTTTGCAAAACAACTAAGAGTTTATAATTTTAGAGTTAACTAAGTTAAGCCAATTGATTCTTCAAATATCTAATGATCTAAATGTTGAGCATTTTATGTATTCCTGAAAGCATAAATTGCTCTTCCTAAATGATATAGCATGCAGTTTAATCAGAACAACTAGATTTGTACATATCCAAGAGGTTTATAGTAACGTAATTTAGAGCATTGGTATAGGAATCAGATGTATCTGGCTTAGGATCCAAGGTCTGTGTGACCGTAGACAAGATAGTTAATTTGTATGGGCCACAATTTCTGCATATGTAAAATGGGAGTAAGAGCACTTATCTTTTGGGGTTGCTGTGTATCTCAAAATTATTTTATCAGCTAATAGTAAATGTTGAGTGATTCATAGCAAGAGACAGGGGGAGAGACAGAGAGGGAAAGAGAAAGAACTGGCAGGGTTCTCCTTCTATTTCAATGCCTAGAACTGGGTCACTTGGCCACCCCCAGGATGGGAAGACCATCAGACACAATGTTAGTCAGGCATTTGGATTTCATTCTTTTTCCAGTACTCTAGTAAAATTAAAGGTCACTTAGCGAATATGCTTTCATCCAGCAGTAGAGATTTAATTTGTTATTTAATTTCATTTAAAGCTTAACTGTAGTAAACTAAAACATAAAATAATTGTAGTATCCGACATGGTGGATCTCAATTTGGCCACACATCAAAATCACCTGTGGAGTTTTAAAAAACGCCACTAATTCTGATTTAATTAGTCTGAAATGGGACCTGGACATTGAGAATTTGGTTAAGTTCCTCTAGATCATGCTAAGGGGCAGCTAAAATTAAGAGTTCCTTGTTTAAGGCATAGAGTTCAAGTTGTTGATTTTATTTTCCAGTTAACTGAGGATTAAACCCTGTAACCTTCTGGTCCCCCCTTTTGCAGTCATCAGAATTAGAGAATTAAAGGTGTAACACACTTGTTTCTGTAAGTAGAATGTCTTGGACATAACTATCTCCCTTGTTGCTTGCAGTCACCTGCAGTAATTTATCATTAGATATTGAAAATGGTTTAAATTTGAACTATACACTTTCAAATGTATTCTGAAAAATCTTCACTTTTTTTCCAATTCATTATGATTTTGTGTAATCTTTCTCTTTTTCATAAAAATAAAGTGTTAGGTGTCAGCTCCCACACATCTCTCCTCCCTCCAAATCAGTTCTTTAGAGTTCTAACTAACGGGTTTTTAACTAATTGGTGTTGTTTCTCTGTTTCACAAACGCATAAGCAGGGATAAAGGGCATGTTATTGATATAAAGCATAAGTGAGATTTTGGCAAAGACTGGGTTTTATTTTCAGGACCTATTAGAATCATAAATCCATGGAAACGGAGCAGTTGCCAACACGTTTTCCTTTAGTGAAAAAGAACTGCTTCTGAGTAGAGTGGATTGTTTTTCAATACCATACATTTGCTAAAAAGTGCACAAATATAGTCTACACATTAATTGTGCATTCAGAATGTTGTGGTTACTGTCTAATAAACACAAAATTGACCTTTTCCTAATTGACTTTCTTTGGTGACACCCTTAGGAGCCACATAAAAAATCTTATCACCAAAATGAAAGGGTATCCGACTGTCATTTAAAATACCACCTTTAAT